TTAGCTTGGTGTAAAGATAATCAGGATTATTACTAGATTGTAACAGCAAATCCAATTTATTTTTAATCGCGCTTTTGTATTTGTTAATATTGTAAACATTTATTTGTCTTTTTGATTTTTTATTATTGTTGACTTTATTGATCTGACTGTTAAACTTAACAACTTGACCACAGTGATCTGAAGGAAGTTTATTTATTATGAATTTTTCTGTATACTCACAGTTACAAAAAACATTGTCAAGACAAGTAGCAGACGTGGCAGTTACACGAGTGGGTTCATGAAAGACATGACTTAAATCAAATGATTGAAATAAACTAATAATTTTTGTACATGTGGGTGTGTTACAAAGAATATCAACGTTAAAATCTCCACATACAATAATTTTTTTAATACTATTAAATATTTTTTTTAATATATCCTCCATCACCCCTTCAAATACATTGTAATCACTATTAGGAGGCCTGTACACACATATAAGGATATAATTTTCTAGTTCTATACAAGATAATTCTATACAACACTCAATAGAAAGTCTAACAATGTCAGCACGTTCCTTTACTTTAATATTATTTCTTGCAATTATCATAGACCCGCCTCTGTTAACTGACTTTCTATTGAAGCAGCTGACAACGTTATAATTATTTAAATTGAACATCATATTGCTCTCTTTAAGCCAATGTTCTGTGAAACAGACAATATCAATATTATACTTTTCTAAAAATAATTGTATAATTAACTCGCTGCCGGGAAAACTTTGTATGTTCTGATGAACAATTATTAATTCTGATTGCTTTCCCTTTGTCTTTGTGAGCAGTTTAAATCTGCAGTCATAGTATTTATGTCACAAATATTAATAGAATTATTTGTTATGTCAGTATTTTTATGTTTAAGTTTACCATGTAAACTGTTCATGTAGTCAATATTATAAGCCACTAAAGTGGCTATTTTATTTTTAGATAATTTAGAGAGATACATTGTATCTTTTGTCAAATAAAAATCACTAATAAAACTATTAGTATCAAAAAATGTAAAAATGTCACTATGACGACATGTCAATGTATGTAATAAGTTGTTCAGGTAATGTACCTTACTGTTAATTTTTTTATGAAGATGTCCTTTTGTGTAAGGAAAAGCGCACAATACAATCTTATACACATTTAATTGTAATAAATATTCAATTCCTTTAATTACATCCTGCCTATTTAATTGAATACTATTACCAAAAAATAACACAATTGTGGTCATATTGTTCATTTTCGTAGACTTTATTTTATTTATTATTTGTGTAAATGATGCTTCTGGCATACAGTAGTTTAATAAATCACCCTTAAGATGATACTTTAAAATAGACCCAAAGTTACAGCCTATTCTGTCAGAGAACACCATTGTGCTACTCTTAGGGTTACAGTCACTGGCACAAACACCCTGAACTTCATTTTCCAGCACAGTTACAACTGAATTATTATTTGATATATTTGTGTGATTACATGTACAATGCTTAGTCAACGACTCAAAACGGTCAGCATTGTATTTACTGACATCAATCAGATCATCCATTGCTAAAATATGCTCCTGGATTTGTTTCTGAGAGATAATATACTTTGTATTTAAATCATGAAGTGAAGATTCTAAACTATTGATTTTTGAAGTTAGGTAGTCTGTATCAATGTCATATAACTTTTGGCTTTCCACTAACTTATTATTACATATATTAATGTAATCATGCAATTTTAAATTATTTAAAGTGTTTTTTTTCAATAACTGTCCCTTTTTGCAACGCTTATTTAATATATTCCGATTCTTAATTATAAACTTTTTTAGTTTTAAATATTTTTTTAATTTATTATTAGTCAACATACAAATGTTACTGTTATAGTTGCCTAATTTAGGTGATGTATCACTAGTAAGGTCAATTACAACAGGATGGGTGCATGGAACTGTAGTAGAAGGAGGCACACAGTCAACACTAATAAGTTCCTCATATAAATTACTAATCTCATTATTTTGTTGAGATTCCAATCTTGTGTCTAGATCATTGATTTTAGAATATGCCTGCTTTAACTCAAGCTCCAATTCAGTGATACGCCTCAAGGCTTGCTCATGAGTGTCACTACATTGATGAAAGCTACTTATTAGTTCTTGAAGCTGATCCCGCTGCTCAATAACTTCCTGATGGCTATTATGAAGTTCTGACAATTCTGATTTTAATTGGGTATTTTTATTTATAATTTTTAAAATTTCATCTTCACTCTCTTCTCTCTCCCTGATCAACTTGTCACTGAGATCTTTGGATGCCTGAAGTTCTTGTAGGGCCACTTTAAGCTTCATCTCTGTCTGCCGTGCAGTTGTGGAACGGGTAGATAGTGACATTATTGAATATATGAATAGTTACTAGGGAGAGTGAAGTGAGTTATTTCTAAAAGAAACAAAGTATCACAACGAGAACAGCAACTGAACCTTACTTATTTTGTGTTAAAATTTTGAATAATTTCTGTTAGATATATTTATACAACCTATATTTTACAAGATTAAGTAAATGGAATTAGATTGTGCTCCTTTCCTTCAAATTATATTAATATAAAACATAAAATTACTTACAATATATTTTGTGGGTATATTTTTTCCTTCGACGTACGCAACAACTGAACTTCACAATTATTAATATCAATTTAACTTTATGTGAATATTTCTATAAAACTTGTATATATTATGAAATTCTTTGAATAAGTCCAACAAATAGTAATAAAAATAGTTTTAAAATTAGTTGTTTACCAACGAAAGAAGTTTGACAGATGGCCGGTACACTATTTTGATGTCGATTTTTGCAAATAATACACTACCAAATTGTACACAAACAATAATCGACACTTATTGCACTATTATATCACTAATAACGATGTTGAAAATATAATATTCGTGTGATAGACTATTAAAAATTATTTATTTATTACGGCCAGCTGAAAATGACAACTGTCGTTGGTGTTGCTAGTCGAAAAAAAAAAAAAAAAAAAAAAAAAAAAAAAAAAAAAAAAAAAAAAAAAAAAAAAAAAAAAAAAAAAAAAAAAAAAAAAAAAAAAAAAAAAAAAAAGAAGAAGACATGTAACCTTAAGTGAGAATGTTGAAAATTTGTCCGGGCTGATGAGTGTGTGTATGTGTGTGTGTGTGTACACAGTACACACGTAGTGGACGCGTGTGCTGGTGTTGCCAGACGTGTGAAATTCTGCAAAATTCATCAAACAGGCGACGACACGTAGCTGCTGTCAATATTTACTGCACCACGCCACACCACCACATAACTTGTAAAGTTTGTGTATTTACAGTTCAAAGCAAAGCAACGTGAGAGAGCGAGTGTGTCAGATAACTTTATGTATTGTAATTCACGGGTACAATTGTAGAAAGAAACGCATCAACAGGACACTTTTTGAATTGATGATAATAGAATGGAGCACCCGCCTGCGCTGACGGTATACGCTGGCGCAGCACCAGTGAGGGATGATACGATGAACATGAGGTCAGGTCAGTTAGCCCACCAGTATTTTATCATGATGGTGTCCAGAGGAACCGCGTGGAAGTCAAATTGGTATGGTACATTGGTAGCAACAGGTCCACACGTTACTAACACTCCCCGTCCCCCCTCAACAGGACAGGATTTCGTATATATGTGTGTGTGTGTTTAATTACATAGTATAGCTATCAAACGATAATGCGGCTCGCCTTATGGTAAGCAGTAGCCGTGAATGAAGCGATTTAAATTCAATGATGAAATATATCAGGTACCAGCACTAACAACAATAGTTCACTTTACACAAGTTGTACATATGTAACCCGCCTCTTATCAGATATCATTGAAGGCAATTAAGTAATTTTTTCACCGCCGGACAATAACAATATCACAACATAGAGCATACACTAGCACAGACTGATCGGTGGACACACCATTCCATTATCAGCCATCAACAAAACACAACTTATTGTATTATGTATAATATTGCGGGTATGTAAAATAAATCATATTAATATAACAAACTTGACGTTCGTAAGCTACTAATAAATGTATTTATTGACTGTACCCAGCCTGTACTACTCTATCATGTTACAGCGACATTACCTGTTTTAAGATACGTACGTACATATTATTTTATATACGTACATATTTTCCGAATTTTGATTGTTTACACTTTATTTTTCGCAGCGAAGAATTGCCGCTCCATGTCTACAATGAAAAGTCAACGAGGCAGGCCAATAACTATCTGGTTGACTAATGTCCATAGAGACATGCAGGAGTTGGGCCTGTCAAAGGACCACGCTTACCAACTAAATGCCCTTTACGAATTGGGGAAGCCGGCCCCGCGTGACGGGAGGAGGCAATGAAGAAGATGGGGTTTATCCTTTTTTTTTCGAACATTTATATGTTGTTAATTTTTGTTTTACAATAAGAGAAATCATAAATATTAGAGGGAAGCTTGCGTTAGGACCCTCCTAGTCACATCGACACACTGCAGTAATATTTATTTTATATAATATCCCCAAAATTCTGGTTTTAAAAAACATCCCGTCAATGAAGTAGTGCGTTGTATCAGGAACAGGCCGCTGTACCTCATTTCTTGTTCGTTTTGGCGAGCTCGTTTGTGATGTTGTTTTTGTTTTGTGTGCGTACATGGACATTTTTTTCTTTCTGCCATGAATTCCACTGCACAGTTGTTACGTCCCCACTGCCGCATAATAAGTTCTGATCCTCCGTAACCTGGTGTGTGCGTAGGTATACCTATCGACACTGGTCTTAAAATTCTACAAAAGACTGGTGCTCTACACGTAGAGCTGGTTCGAGTCTCTATAACACGTAACGTAGGATGTCATGATTGATGATAGGAGTATATTTTGTTTGGGGAGAGCTGAGGGGTGGAGGGGGTGGGGGTCGCTGCGTGTACGCCACCAACAGCAAACCTCCAATAGTCATCGAATGAAAACCAATAACATAGCTCTCGTCAGCATTCACTCACCGGTTGTGTTTTACGTGAAGATAATTTCACAGTAATCTGGACAGTGGTCCGGAGCGAGCGGCCGCGGCTCGGTCCGCACCGACCCGATATCCAACACACGCACAGAACTGTATCACACCGCCACTTCACTTCACTACTCGGGATGCAAAAGTTGCAACGCGAAAAAAAACATGGAAGCACACGAAAGTACACCTATCACAACAAACGCGACGTGTCGTCCTCCCGTACTATTATTCCAATAAAACTTTGTTAAGAGTTCCTATTGAAATCGGTCTGCATTGGTAGACAAAAAAAAAAAAAGAGCGCGGAGAGAGTCGTCGGCCGGCGGGCGGCGGGCGGCGGGCGGCGGGCGGCGGGCGGCGGGCGGTGTAGTGTGGAGTACGTATGCGCGCGCGCACGCCGACGCAGAACTGATCCGACCGGTGTGAAGTGGCGGCCGCGGTCGTGACCGGCCCTCCTCCTCCGCCGCCCCCCCCCTCCCCCCTGCCTCCCAGCACACCCCTCGCACCGCCGCCACGAGGAGCGACGCAGCGCGGCTCACTTCGCGCCTCTCTCCTACCTCCTGCCTCCTGCGTCCTGCCTACGATCGTACGTTGTCCTAAAGTGTAACGGAGAGACGGCGATCACCAAACATTGCTGATCGAATCAATCAGCAATCCTTTCAAAAAGTTATTCATAACAAAAAATTAAATCAGTCTAGAATACCGAATACCGAATCGGTCCCTTAGGTCCGCGGTTGTCACGTATTGATCTGATCCCACGTACTATGTTCGCTACATTTAATTAATTGTGCATCGAACTGGGTCATTTCATATTGTCACGTTAAGTGGACAGGTGTATGAATAAAATTAAAAGAAGGATGTGGATTTAAATTTATTACAATGTTATATATACATTTTTACAGGAAGTAACCAAACCTAATTTAATTATGACCTAAACGGTATTATACACATAAACCTTCGTAGCTCCGGGAGTGAATATTATATTATATTACATTATATTGGGTTTACTGACCGGTCAGTTGTGATACAGTGTGTGAGACAGTAACATCTCTTTACTCCCGGGGTATATGTTCCATAAATACGCCGCGAATACAGAAACCGTTCACACGGAATGATAATTTATATGGAATTATAGGGGATACGTTCCTACGTGACGTTCTTTTATTTTAATCCGCGAAGTAAGCCAGAGCGAATAAATAGCTTTTACTGTATTTTGCAATAGGGAGCTGGTCCTCGTTGATGGTCGCCTCGGCGCGTCTCCCTGACGCGGAGCGTTGGTGACTAGTGCTCAGGGACTAGGTCATAAGGTCATGGCACTGGTACGCTTCACAATGTTCGATGCCTGATGTCAATACAGCACCATACAACAGTTCCAGTTTATGTGCTTGGAGTTACAGATTCCACTCGAGCCAGGGTGATACATAGATATAGTTTATTTAATGCGAGAGTAACATCTTACTACGTTTGTAGTGTATATATCTCTAGTCTCTGAAAGCTTCTTCAGTCTTCTGCAGGATTCATTTTGCGTCTCACCGAACAATAGTCATCAGATATCTTTCTACATATCGTCGGTTAAATAGAAAAATTACACTATTCAAAATGTACATTTTTTAGCAGCATTTAAAGTTTTTTTTAAATTTATATAAATTATTATTTTTAAAGTTTTAAATTTACGCAAAAGTATTATATGTATATAATTTTAAAAGTATTTAGATAATTATTAAGACGGCGTGGTTAATTTAGTTGACATAAATACAAGTAGGCAATTCTAGCTTCCAATTTGGTAAACTTACATAATTCTATTTAATCGACGATATTTAAAAATTTTAATTTGAATATTTAGACATAGAAAGAGGTTTAAAGAGGAAATAATATCAAAAGGCTGGCTAATAGATATATATTAAAAAACATATTCTGAAAATGTTATTGTAGAATGATTTAACGTCAGACGTACATTCAGTGTTCTTAGAGTATAGACATAGAAAATATGCTATGTATGGCAAGGTACAGAAAAGGAAAGGTACAGGATGTATATAGTTGTAAATTCGAATCGTCTACAATATGTGTTCATTATAAATACTAATTGATTCGTTACAATTAAAACATATCACGTAATACAGACACACATAAATCAACTCAATGGGTAGAGCTTCCAGCTCGACCTGTCCCGGAACTAATTCATACATTAATCAGATCCTTTTCGTGACCAAGACACCTTAAGTCCACGTCGACAATGATGGCAGAGTTATCATTGCCAGGGTGCATGTATGCGAGCCTGCATACTGCATACATACGTAAAGGTACATAACCATCTTGCAGTAAAGCAAGCATACGTTTATCTAGTAATACATATTAGATATAAAAACAAACAATAGTCAAATAATATTTATCTTATACAGTATACAAGACACATAGACACATAGACAATTCTATGAATTCACAGGTGTTATTTGTTCTGTAATTATCTTGCTTTAATAAATGAAATACTAAAAACGAAGATTATGTAGGAATTTGATATATATTTCTGTTGAAAGATAATATTGCAGATTAAAGACGTAGGTAGGTAACTAAATTGCATTTGACACGTGTTAATAATAATAAATATTTATATTTAAATAGGTTACTACTAAGTAAATATCAATTAACTTAATTAACTTAACTGTAGGCTGCCAACCTCATTGCATTCACAACAGTCATACAACACAAATACATTCACTGAAAAGTATATTGACAAAACGACAAATTTATTCACTTACTAATTATTGATTTGGCAAGTTGTTACATGTAATTAGTATTTGTTATTTTTATTCTGGATATATTGCATACCTCGTGATATATTAAATCTGTCATTAATGTCAGTCCTTACTCGTATATTATCAACACGCCGCCAACCAAACCACAACTAAGTTCTCTTTCGAAGGCAGTGAAAATGCCGACCATCTGGCAAAGTTAGGGACAAAAACCGTCCAACAGAACAGGATAGACGAATTGATAGATGACAACATATCAAGTAAATAATTAGTTTATTAGCATACAACGTTATAATTTATTTATCTCATTGCTTTCTTGATTCAATTATTTTAGAAATATGAACAGCGTAGCGGTTTTGTATTGATTGCCGCATGCATTCTTATGTAAAATGTGAATACTATAACTATCAGATGGCAATTGTGAGTTGCTTTGACGTGGTCTGGTGTTTTGAGTAGTCATGCTCACTAAAATGTCCAGACTTGTGGCGGCGTGGTGGGCCGGGTCATTGGGCTCCCTAAAATATGGTCGAGCGCAGTGATGTAGGTGCTTGTAGGTAATCTTGAAAAAAAAAATTGTAATGAATTAAAGAAAATTCTAATATTATGAAAATTCCTAAAAGTATAAATCATATAAAGTAATATATTATCTATTACTTTATATGATTTATACTTTTAGGAATTTCCATAACATTACAATTTTCTTTAATTCATTACAATTTTTTACTACAGACATATTTTTTTTACACGTGAAATTTTGTTAACATGTCCTTGGAGGTATTAGAATGAACAAAGGACTTTTTGTTCAAATAAATTTTTTTTTCTTAAATATGAGCTAAGCCGCGAGTAAAAGCCAGTATAATATAAAACTACAACAAATATGAAAGAAATGTAATATCACAGTCTGTTGCAAATAAAAACAATAAACAACAACAGAACATTCCGCCCAACACCTGATGTCCTTCATTTCAGAATATTTCAAAATTGAATTCATCGGAATCGCCTCGACTGCCTCCTCATAAATTACAATCAAAGTTGAAAGACGATGGTTATAAGTTAAGATGAGTTGTCATGATGACGGTATTAGTCTATGTGGTGTGGACTTCATGGCTTATCACTGACCACATAAAAGTCACTTATAGTTATAGAGTAGATGCAATAGCTTTCTGCACATAAAGAAACGACATACAAACATATAATACACACAATATGATCTATTTTATAAGATTCATATTTCTTGCCAAGACATTCAGCGGATACCGCCCGACCGATTTGACCCGCCTGAATTGTATGCTCGTCGTGAAGAGTTTGGGATTATGACTGATGCAGCATTTGTATCGTCGTCGTGTGGTAGATGCCGATGCCGGTGAGTGAGTGTCACGATGGTGATGTCTATCGCAACATACAACAGTCAACATCCAAACAGTACAGGGAACTGTCTCGCTTGGCAAATATCATTTTTATATTTTATTTTATTATTATTTTTTTATTTTTAATTCCAACTTAAAAAAAAATAGTAGGCTCCTACCCGTGGACCTTACCACATTCAGTGGTAACGTAAATGAAGTGGTATACTCGTGTACTCGCGAGTAACCAAATCAAAAGAAAGATAATAAAATAAATTAAACATTACAAGTATTATGTTAAAAAATAAAAATGATAAAACACTGAAATAAATTAAAAAGTCAAAACAAATAGCCGGAGCCAGATGTAGAGGAAAAATATCGCAATGAATTTTTTTTTTTATTATTTTAAATTACGTTTCATTTATATTGTAGTACTTTATGATACACTATATTTTTTGCTTGATTACCTGGCGCGTCAACAAACAGAGCCAATGGTTTCCCAACATGGGAACAGGCAACATACAATTGACCATACGAGAAGCATGGGTTTTCTAAATTAATAGCACAAACACTTAACGACTGCCCCTGGGATTTGTTTATAGTCATAGCGAAAGCAAGCCGTACTGGAAACTGCAGTCGTTTAAACTCGAATGGTACGTCACTCGGAATCATTGGGATGCGGTTATCAAAACGTCTTCTTTTCTTTCTCCTTTATATTTTCCTTTCAATATGATTGCATCTATTACATTATTCAGTTTTTAACCACAGATCCAACCTTTAAATGAACATTGTAAGGCGGCATCCTAGCAAATAGTGAGTTTAAAAATTCCAGTGGATAGTTCACGATATCTTCGTTTGTTGTCGTAACAACTATTTAACATGTCCTCACGTCGCCAGGAATGACATTTTGAATATTAAAATTTAATTCATTTACATCAGTATTTTATTTATTTTATTTTTTATGTGTTCAGATTTTGATTGAGTTAAATGACAAAAACTCTCAGCAAAGGTGATGCCAGTTAGCACGTCTATAGAGAATTTGCTATTACCAATATCAATGAGTTGTTTAGAGAATATGTCTCCAGATTGATCATTTTGATCAACATGACACTCATATGTGTGACGGTATTTTAAACAAAATATCGTCACACATATTGTCTTTGTATTTATTTGATGGGATGCACGTAGATACGATAATGGAAAACAATGTTCGTATTTGATGACCTTGTGATGAAATTACAGCAT